TGGGGGGCCGGTGCCGCTTCTGCCTCCTGGCGGGCTTGTTGCGCGGCTTCGACAAATTGCTGTGACAGTTTGAGCCTCTTCTTCACATCCTGAAAGTTGTGGGAGGAGGCCCACATTGGTTGCCTGTCCTGCCTCAGCAACCGGTCTGCCTCTGCTAAGCCGTGGACCCGGGCTGCGTCTAGCTCTGACTGCGGGATCGCCTCCCACAGCAGGTTGCTAGTCAGCTTCGCTGTCGCACCCCAGATCAGTGATTTCACCTTGATCGACGCGGCGTATTTGGCCGACGAATAGTGGAAGGCCATTGCACCCACTTCTGGCACCTCGCCCTTGGCTTGCCAGTCACCCAGGGCGGCCATTTCTTCAGGCTTGCATTCCAACAATTGGGCCACCGTGGGTGCCAACCTTCTCCAACTGTAGGTGGTCAGGTCTTCAGGATTGTCGAGGAACACGGACATTTCCTGTTGCATCGTTTCTTGAACTTCAAGGATCGTCCAAGGGCGTCCTTCGTCCGAAAAACAAAGACCTGCCAGCCTCTGCCTTGCCGGTGCCAGTGTCCTGTAGGCCTCCAACACCTCCTTGGCCCAAAAGAACCCATTGGCAAAGGTTGCCGGCACTGCAAAGTCGAATCCCTCCCGAGCATGCCTTTGTTTGCCTTTGGGACACCTGCAATGGAGGAATGCAGCGGTGAGGCGTCGAGGTTCCGTTCGAGATATATGCGCATACCTCAAACAGCCAAATGCCATGATCCAAGGGGCCAGGAGGACTGACCACCTTTCATCGCCTACCGCATGCAGTTCCATGATGCGGTCCTCCAAGGCCTGCACCAAGGGTGGCTCGACCACCGGAGCTTGCCCACGCTGCCCAGTCGCCCTGGGTGTTGTGGGAACTTGCAAGTTGCCCAGCTCAAGATCCTGGTCGGCATTCTTATTCATCCACTTCAAAGCTTGGAGTGCCCGTGCTGGTGCCGCTGTGTGGTTCAGGAACTGGTCAAGGTCGACCATGCCGGGAGGAGCGGGTCGCCCCCGGCTCTCCAAGAAGGTCCTCAGCTCCAACCAAGTGTTGACCACTCTGTCAATGGTGGCCTTTTCAGCGTCCTTCACCTTCTTTTCGGCGATCCTCCTGCACGTCTGCTTCCATTCAGCTTTGAGGGTGTCGGTCAAAATGCCGGCTGGCTTGTACGCGCCCATGCCAACAAACATTGAAACCACGCCGTTCACCCTCTTCTGGACGGCTTCACTCAGGTTTTTGTCGACGTTGATGGCTCTGGGCTTCTTCTTGTAGATCGTCTTGCGCGCTGGGCGCAGAGTGACGTAACCCTTGGGGTGGTCCTCCACGACTTTGGCTCCAGCGGCAAGGAGGGTTTCTTCGACCCTTGCTCGCGTCTGCAACCAGTCATCGGCGACATGATGGCCAGCGAGTCCAACGACTTGATCGTAGTCTGTGTAGGCATAGGCAAAGTCATTGTCATCCAGAAGGCCTTCATTCTCCCTCCATTGGCGAGCCCTCTGAGCAGCAATCATCATTAAAGAGTCGGCCGCCCTCCATCCTGGTGCAGGGTCACCCCCTGACGAAGATGAGGCTGCCGCCTGAGCTGCATAGTAGCCTTTTCCGCCTGATGCCATGGCACTGCACCCTAACAGAATTGCTAAGGTGCGGAGAGCAAAAAGATGCTGCGGTGACTCCAGAGGTGCCTCCTCTGTCATAGCATCAACCTTCAGCGAACATCTTCTTACGGCCTCCACAAACTGTGCATGGCTGCCTCCATGTATAGCAGTCACTACACATGCCAACGCAGCAGGCCCAACACACGCGCCTGGTGGGGTCGCCGCACTCCGTGCATGCAGTCCCCAGATGCTGGACTCTGGCTTCTTGGCTTTCCAGCCACCCACAAAGAGCTCGATGAGCCCTGGCGCCCTCTCTCCCCCATGCCGGCCAGGGTCGCCCCCTGGGGGCCCTGGGGAAGTGACGCGGCTCGAGAAAGATCGGCAGGAGCTCGTGCGGGCCCACACATCGAAGCCAGCCCCTCCATTGCTCGAAGAGCTCGCCCAGGCCCAGCTGCCCAGCGTCGCCCGCTGAACATCTGAGCTGGAGTCCATAGAGCTCTTGGGGCACCACGTCCTCGGCCACTCTGAAGTTCGTGTATGCCGAAACCAGCAGGAGATCCATGGGTTCCTGGTGCTGGTAGTAGTACTCCCAAGCATCCGCAGGCGCCACATCATCAGGCAGCACAACTCCCCGGCTGTTCCACAAGCCAAGCCACGGGAACTTGAACCCACCCACATGAGCTGCGCAACGTGGACATCCGTCAAGGCAGCAGGGCATTTTCGGCAAGGGGGGAAACAACTCACAATCTGTCCCAGTAGTGAGAACGTAGGGGGAGTGCAACACCTCGATACCATGCATCCAGCATGTGTATGCTGCTGGGCCCGAATCCTCCCTTGCCAGCCTCTCCACGTGGTTCTTGAATTCCAAAAACGCAGCCGCATGCAGGATCTTCGCCTCAGTGGCTGCTGGAATATCAATGCCTGGGAGTTTGCGCTGCATACAAGGTCACCCCTTGTGTTGAGTTTGAACCAACCAATCAAGGTCAAGTAAGGTCGCCCCTTACAATGACCGAGAAAGAAAACAGCAATGAATGCTATTTTGGTTCAAGTTTACTTGAGCCAAAATGATAGCATTCATTGAACACTTGAAGATGATACATGCACACCCAAGCCTGCCAAACTCGATGCATGGGTATATATATGCACAGTTATATACATACAGTTATATCATTGAAGGAAGTTTAGAAGTCAAACTTCCGACAATATGGACAAATGGAAAAGCAGAGGTGGGAAGAGTCAGAGAAGAGAAGAGCAGAAGAGAGAAGAGTCAGAAGAAAGAAGATGCAGGTGCGCGAAATGGTAGGAAAGTCGCGAAACACTGTATTTTTCGACTGATTTGAAAGCGGCGGGCGCAAAGCCGTCTGGCCAGATGAGAGATGAAAAGTTGCACGCAGCTGTGGCACGAAGCACATTTGGAAGTCAAAATGTACAAAACACCTCATGTTCGGACCACTTTTGGAAGCTGAGATGTCGAAAAAGTGAACGCCGTTGTGGCGCAAAGCACATGTCTCAAAGTCAAAAGTGTTAAAAACAGACAAAGCCGACGGTCTCGGAGCACTTTTGCAAGTTGAGATGTCGAAAAAGTGTACGCCGCTGTGGCACGAAGCACATTTCCAAGTAAACATGTACAAAACACCCCATGCTCGGAAAGCTTTTGGAAATTGACATGTCGAAAAAGTGCACGCCGTTGTGGCGCGAAGCACATTTCCGGGCCACTTTTGGACGTTCAGATTTGGTTTTGCGTGGCAGGCGCCAGGGATTGCGCACCTTGTCAAACATCAGCAAAACATGAGGGTTCTGCACTCCACTCCACTACATTGCACTACAACTACAACTACAACTACAGCTACAACTACAACTACACTACACTAATCTCATTACACTGCACTACACTACACTAACTACAACTACGACTTCAACTAGAACTACAACTACAAGGACGACTTCAACTACAACTACACTACACTACACTAATTAAACTACGCTAACCTACACTACACTCCCCTTCACTACGCTACACTACACTCAATCACACTACACTACACTACAACTACAACTACAACTACAACTACAACTACAACTACAACTACAACTACAACTACAACTACAACTACGCTACATCGCGCTACACTACACTAATTACATTACACTACACTAATTATAGTACACTACACTCCACTAACTACAACCACAGCCACAACTACAACTACAACTACATTACACTACGCTACACTAATTACATTACGCAACACTACACTACACTCCACTTCACCACACTACACTACACTCAATTACACAACACAACACAACACTACACTACACTACACTAACTACAACTACAACTACAACTACAACTACAACTACAACTACAACTACAGTACAGTACACTACACTACACTAATTACACTACACTGCGCTACACTCCACTTCGCTACACTACACTACACTCAATCACACCACACTACTACACTACACTACACTACAACTGCAACTACAACTACAACTACAACTACAACTACAACTACAACTACGCTACACTACACTACACTAATTACATTACACTAATTACATTCCACTACACTACACTCTACTAACTACAACTACAACTACAACTACACTGATTACCCTACACTACACCACACTACACTACACTACAGTACATTACACTACTCTACACTACACTACACTAACTACTACTACGCTACTTTACGCTACACAACACTAGACTACACTACCCTACACTACATTACGCTACACTCATTTTACCACCACAAATGCAACTGCAACTACACTACATTAATTACACTACACCACAACTATAACTCCACTACACTGCAACTACAACTACAGCTGCACTACACCACACTACATCCAGCAGCTGTGGGTGAGGTGATCGACCAGGTGACCACTGCAACCATTGTAACCACGCCAAAAAACACAACTCCAACCACCTTTCAGTTCATCAGTGGATTCGCTCTGCCATCCGTGCTTCACAACAACCAACCTCTCCTATTGGTTTCCTATTTTTGAAACTTCCGCCACCGCCTTGTGCGGTACTACTGGTGTATGTGCTCATGTTACATAGAAGTTGTCACCTGTTAATTTTTGTGAATCTAGAATACACTTACATGCCGCAATTCAAAAATGCATTGCTCTATTATCATCATGATCATCATACGTACATTGATATGCAACATACATGATGATCTATTCGTATTGTATATATGTATATAGATATGATATATGCCAATACACCGTATGATCCTAATATGTGTATACTATCATATGTTAGATTTTTGTTATACTATATGTATTGTCATATTATGTATATTATCTATTTTTGTGTCCCAATGTATTGTGCATTCGTTTCAATGGATCTGTGGAAAGAGCGGCCGCCTTCGCCAGCAGCACCAAAACCCTGCAGCGCCAACGTGCAACACGAGACCTGAGAAAAATTGGATGCACACTATAGTACTGCAATTCTGCGACATCAAACTTCTAGTGACATTTGCGAAATTGATCGTGATTGCAATTCAGCTCATCAGGTGTCGATTTAGAAGTGAAGAACTGGTGTGCTTAGGTCCGTCAGTCAAAAATATTGATGCCAGTGACAGCACATGTGCCACAAAAACAGTGGGGAGAAAGGACCTGAAGGCGCGTCAGGACCGGCGAACAGAGGAAAGCAAAAATATGTTTCCCACCGGATGTTCTGGATGCTCTGCTGTATCCCGGGAACTGGAGAATCAACAAGAGTCCGGCTTCCGAGGCTCAATCTCGAAATTTTCCAAGAAGTTCCTAGTTAGATTCCAAGTGCCTTAACGTTCCAAGTGAGGGGTCAGAGTTCTTAAAAGCCTGAACAAGTTGCAAGGTGCCAAATGAAAGTCTTTGGAGCCTTGATTTCTTGGGTCGTGTGTGGGCTTCGAGTGAGTCAAGAAACTAGGAGTAACTCAGTACTGTACCAACCAGTTCAACCAGATAAGCCACTTGAATCCAAGCCACGGCAGCTGCTGCTGTATATGCTGAAAGAGGCCTTCAAGACGCGGCAATGGGCCAGGATCTGTATCACCAGCCTCCCAGTTTCAAGTGATGATATTACAAACTGCATCGCTCGCCAATATGGGAGATGAAATGGGTGGCCGAGTTTGGCCTCCTCAATTCTTCCAGTCAGCATGTCCAGCAAGGCTGCTGCCTCGATAGTGTACCACATTTGTCTTCATCTTTGAGCTTTTGGGTAACACCATGACTTCATGGTGATTTCAGTGTGACTTCTTTGTGACTATATTGTGACTTCATGGTGACTTCAGTGTGACTTCTTGCCTCTAGCAACTTGCCAAGAGCTGTATGACAAAGCGCCAAGTAGAGACATCGATAGTCAAGGATTGCCTGCCCCGAAAGCGAATTTGCTTCTTGGCAGAGCAATGTGCAAAGCATTCACCCAGTGATGCCCGAGGCTTTCTATTCGGCCTTTTTGTAGGTCGCCAGCCTGTCCTAGGCGACTCACTTTCACTTCTGAGAGACTGAAAGTAAACTACGATACATTGCCGATACGTCATAGGCACAACAGTTGGAGCCACCTCCAACTCGGGGGTGGATTCAGGCAACTCAGCCAACGCCGCCAGATCGTCTTTGATCAGCTCACAGAAGCGCATGCCCTGGATAGCATCATAGACAACAAGCCAGCCTTGCATCTTACATAGAAGCTTCTGGAGATCAGAAGTTTTAAAATCGTCTGAGTCCAGATACTTCGACCAAAATAACTGCTTCTTCTATCGAATGCCGATGTTAATACACCATTCCTTGGCAAATCGCCCGTAAAAACAGTTGCAACTATCACTGTAACAAAAGGTATTAGGGAGGCCCTTTTGAGCGAAGTCGGTTTTGAGAAGGTTTTCCAGACCCAGAATTGAGTCCGTCGTGGCAAGCTTAGATAGCTGATTTTACATTCCTTGCTGCTTGAACCTTGAAGTTAGCTTTTTTTGTTTCGTTCGTCTGGCAGCTTGATTGTTTGCTGCTCATAGAAGGCCTGCTACCGGCTTCCATTTGAATGATTGTATTGGATATTTTACCGCGCCTTGTTGGCCCCCCTTGCCTCTAGAATCCTGCCGAATTTCTCAACCCCACAAGAACATGAACCACGATCTTTTGTAGTCTATCCCGTTAATAATTATATAATAGTATAAGTTATAAGTTTGAAACGGAATGGAGTACTGGGAAGGCCCCTCTTGGAGGTCCCGATTTTCTCATAATTTCCGACTTCCAATTTTGCGGCGGCAGTGCTGTGCCCCACAATTCGAAGCTGTTGAAGTGTTTTTTTGTATTTTTTAGCTTACATAACACTTGCATAAACTTTCATAGCTTAAACATGCTCAAAACCTCCACATCCTCCACTCTAGACTTCACAAGCAGCGACAGCACAGTTGTGCCTCCTCAGGCCGACAGTTTCGCCTAGAGTCAATGGTATTGACATCTTCCGTATCATCCAATTTGGTCAAGTGGCTCCTGGCAACAGTGTCAGCCAGAAAAGCCATGCTGTGATGTTTGGTCAAAAACAAGTTCTGGCTAGGCCTGAGGAGCATCAGGTTTCGCTCGGCACCTCATTTCCGGTTCACATTTCTTGCGCAAGTCTCGATAGATAAATTTGGCGTCAAGAAATGCAAACAAGCGGCTCAGACAAAGGGAAACCTCTCTGATAAAGGCCTGAGGCACCCAAATGTACGCAATGGCATCATATTTCCTTTGCGATGCAGTGATGTACTGCATGGAGTGCAGTTCTACCTCTGCAGTTCGCCACTCTGCTGTGTCAGCATCAGCTCCCGCTGCAATCATCTCACCATGGATGTCCTGGTCAGCATCCGGAGCCACTTTACGACACAGCGACACCCTGTGACACCCTGTGACACCCCGTGACACCCCGTGACACCCTTCACTTTCATCAACTGTTCGCAGATGTGGTACCACCCTGGTACCATGTGTCCTTCAGAGCCTCCCCAAAGTCAACTGAAATTTCACCTGCAGCACTGGTTGACCACAGGGTCAAATCCAATAAACTTGGCCAGGTGGTCTGAACAATCTGAGCAACACCCGCAATACAAACAAGGTCGCATCAATCACAACAGACACAAGACCGAGACTGCACCGTACTTCTCCGTTGGTGCTGGACCACGATTCTCAGAGTCAACGTCAGCCTAAAGAGAACGAGAATGGAATGAAATTGAGATTCTGCACTTCGACATTTAAAAGCAAGAAAAGTGTCCACCTGCAGTGCTTTGGCCGACTCCAAGCACATCCTAGGCAAGCATGCAAACAACTCAAACAATACAAGAAAATCTGAGAATCTGCACCGTCCGGAAATGAAATCTTATTCTGGAGGCATTTTCATATCTGAACTGTTCATCACCAACTTTTCTCGGTAAAGCTGAGGAGTCAGCATCACTTTCGACCTGATCTTCTCTGAGGGGATGGATACTGCGTGGCCGCGGTAAGTCATATCTCCGCGCACATCCTGGCGCACTCCAGTCATTGAAGCACCGGTCAAGCCGAGTCAAGCCCATGTTGCTCAACAAGAGTAGCAACTCGATACATCTCGTGGATTTAGCAAGGAGTCCTTCCCGCTGGCCGCCACCTCAGAAAAGGGCAAATCAAATGTTCTTGGCACGAGTCCTTTGTAACTATACCTCGGCCTGTCTTGTGCCCGGCCTTGGATAAACCTTCCTCTTCCTCTTCAGCCTCGCCCAAATTGTACCTCCAAAGCAATGGATTGTTTGCCGAGCAAGTAGTCTCTATATTGTGCTAGTACTGTGCTATGTTGTGCCTGCATTCTCGCAGCATGGGGCCAAGCTCCTGTGATGTTCCAGCTTTGACCCAACTTTCCCTGAAACCAAATGCTGGAAGCATCTGGAAGCATCTGGAAGCCAACTGTGATCACTGATTTTAGAACTCCTCGCTCACTACCCATGGAGTCCTGGAGGTGCTCTCGAAGGGCTGAAGCCTCTGCCTCCGACAGCTTTGCTCAGCTTTGCTCTTTGTGCTTCAAAATGAACTCAGATAGTCACAGCAAGACTAAAGTCATTTGGCCTGATCAGCTGCCAAGATGAAGTGCTCGCATAACTTTTTGCATCGTGCCAGCTTAGTTTTGGCCTGGCACCAGAACAACATTCACATGTCTATTTCTAGGTTTTGCTGTAGAAATCTTGCACAAGATCTCAAGCTCAATCTACCTGTTTGCAGTGTGCAGAACGCTGCCTCTGCCCAACTCTCCCGTTCCACAAGCCATACTCCTAGTTGACCGCATCAAACACGAAGCACAAAATGACAGTGCGCAGACGAAAGTCAACATCATCGACACTTCAGCCTGCCATGAAAGCTGCATAAGCCTTGGATCCGCGTCGACTCTGCAAAAGCGTTAGAATGCATGTGGGACAGTGCAGGTACAGTAATTCTTCTGCTTATGGTGGCAAGTACATACCTCCCTTGAATCATGGCTAATGTCATGAACCAAAAAGAACAGATCCCATCCGCCTCTGCCTCAAGCTGTGTGCGCTGGTCGCAGTGAGCTTTGCATACCTGCAAACACTCCCACTCACAAGCCATGATGCTCCTGGGTGACCACCCCGGAACACACAGTGGAACTTCCTCGGGTAAATCAAAAAAACTCTAACCGAACCCGCAAATCCGCAACCCGCAACCGAAGCCGCACTGAACCTCTGTTTGAGACATTTGAGACCCCTAAGGTAACGCTGTTGCGGGAAACTATCCACACTGCATGCTTGCCAAGGCCCAAGCTGACTCCAAGTGTTCTGCATATTTGCATGCCTTCGCAAACCTGAAACAAGTGGGGCAACATTCATGTCAGCCGCTCAACAATGTACCAAATATCAAATATCTATATATCTTGCTACAAACAAATGTGATATCATACACACATGTAAATTATTGTGTGTATACATACTCTTCTGAAGTCCCGGCTTTCGTTCTGAGTGGTGTCGCCAGCGTGCATTGAAGGCCTTAATGATCTTAATGCAAATTGCGCTCTCAGTGATGTTGGCGAAACATATTATTGCTCTTCGGGGGAACTGTAGAAAAGTGTATTCTCCGATCCGATTATCGCCTTCAAAATAAGGCATCATCGTGACTCTGTTTCTGTGTGACTGGTTGACTCCCAGGAGACGCCCTGAGGTTCACTCTGCAGCTGCAGCGTTGTCTGCTTTCAGTTGCACCTTTTGGGAACAGCGGCTGCAAATTGAAATTTGGGAATAGCATAGCAGCATAGCCATGAAATTCGAATTTCCGGGTTTTGAGCTAGGCACTCCGAATGCCCAGGCACGCTCTGTCTGGACTAGTGGGATGAAGATCCATTTTGGGTCATTGAAATTCTCCGGGAAGGTCGCCTCGTGATGCCAAGTTTCCCCATCTTCCCCGATGGCTGCCCTAGGCGCCCTGGCCGCCCTGTCCGCCCTCGCTGCCCTGGCCTGTTTGAAATGTTTTTTGCCATGCTTGAATCGCATCGCCACGTACAATCGCCGCAATCGTCGGCTGCAGTACTGGCGGTACCTTCCATGAATTCATATAAAGTCTACTAATTCTACCGAGTCTACTGTTCTTTACGACTTTACAACGTCTTCCGCTGTTGTGCGCCTGAGGTGGTCATTGTGCCTCAAACCATTCAGACTCCGATGAACCTGGGTCAACATCCAGAAACACAAATAACAACATAGAAGCATGAAGAGTCGAAAAGCAATTGTTACTTTTTCATATTGTTTCATACATGTTTTCTACATTTGCAAGAAAGTTTCTTCCTTACAGGAGTGCCAGCCTGTACCGTTGACAAGATCTTGAGAGAGAATGGTTCATGTGGTGAAGGCTGCTCCTGGCGCAGTGCACTGCGCTGAAATGTCACCAGTGCACCAACATGCACCAACACTCTGGGTCGAATTTGCCTGGGAGGGTGACACGACGTGACACAACTGTATCAGAGAAGGCTCAAGTCACCCGCCTCTTGAGGCTCAGGTGACTCAGTTTCCTCGCACTTAAAAGAATGAAAATGTTGTCCTTACATGTCCTCACTGTATGTTTTCATTTCTTTTTCGTTATTTCATATTATTATATCCGCCGACCCCGGCCGACGGCAAGGGGGAGCGCGTCAGGGCAGAGAGGAACACCAACAACAACAACAACAACAACTTCAGAGGCATGGTGTTTTCCGCCCGGGAGGAGGTGATTTTTTCGAAGCTGTTTTACTGCCGCGCCCGCAGGCAACAGAAGCTGTCGAAAAATGTTGTTTTTCTAGAATTTCAGACGACACGTTAGGCAGTTTTTTGGCGTGGTTTTGGAACTAGCTCGTCCTTCAGAAGCATGGGGTTTTCCCCCGGGAGGTGGGTTGTTCGAAGCTGTTTAGCTGCAGCAGGCGCAGGCAAAAGCAGCCGCAGGCAACAGAAGCTGTCGAAAAATGTTGTTTTTCTAGGATTTCAGACGACACGTTAGGCAGTTTTTTGGCGTGGTTTTGGACCTAGCTCGTCCTTCAGAGGCAGGGTGCTTTCCCCCGGGAGGTGATTTTTTGTAGGGTTTCAGAAACAACATTAGGTACTTTTCCCGGTCACTTTTGGAGCGTTTTGGGCACGAAATTAGGTGGCGTTTCAGCGTTTCGAGTGGTGTCCATACACCAACACCAACACCAACACCAACACCAACACCAACACCACCAACAACAACAACAACAACAACAACAACACCTTCAGAGGCATGGTGTTTTCCGCCCGGGAGGAGGTGATTTTTTCGAAGCTGTTTTACTGCCGCACCCGCAGGCAACAGAAGCTGTCGAAAAATGTTGTTTTTCTAGAATTTCAGACGACACGTTAGGCAGTTTTTTGGCGTGGTTTTGGACCTAGCTCGTCCTTCAGAAGCATGGGGTTTTCCCCCGGGAGGTGAGTTGTTCGAAGCTGTTTAGCTGCAGCAGGCGCAGGCAAAAGCAGCCGCAGGCAACAGAAGCTGTCGAAAAATGTTGTTTTTCTAGGATTTCAGACGACACGTTAGGCAGTTTTTTGGCGTGGTTTTGGACCTAGCTCGTCCTTCAGAGGCAGGGTGTTTTCCCCCGGGAGGTGATTTTTTCTAGGGCTTCAGAAACAACATTAGGTACTTTTCCCGGTCACTTTTGGAGCGTTTTGGGCACGAAATTAGGTGGCGTTTCAGCGTTTCGAGTGGTGTCCATGAGTCGAGCTGTTGCAGCTGACGTCAAAGCGACAGGACGCGACAAGACAGTTGTCACAAAGGCAGGCAAAAGATCTTTTTTTCTAGGCTTTGAGGGCAGGCAAAAGATCTTTTTTTCTAGGGTTTTATAAAACCCGGTCCCTTTTGGAGCGTTTTTGGCATGAAATTAGGTGGCGTTTCAGCGTTTCGAGTGGTGTCCATGAGTCGAGCTCGGCAACGGCAGCAGCCTTCTAGTATGCTTCAGTTCCCTCATGTCTTCAGTTCTAGTAGGATTCCAGAAGTCAGCGGCAATGGCAGTAGCAGCGGCAGCAGCAAGTCCGCAGCAGCGGCAACGGCAGCAGCCTTCTAGTATCCTTCATCAGTTCCCTCAAGTCTTCACTTCAGTTCTAGTAGGATTCTAGAAGTCACGTTAGAGAGTTTTTTGGTGCGATCCTGTGGCCCGTTCGTCCTTCCGTGCCCTGCTGTTTTGGTGCCGGGAGGTGCTTTTGGTACACTTCTGTCAGCAGCAGCAGCAGTAAGAGCAGCGGCAGTGGCAGTAGCAGCGGCAGTAGCAAGTCCAGCAGCAGCAACAGCAGCAGCGGCAACGGCAGCAGCCTTCTAGTCTCCTTCATCAGTTCCCTCAAGTCTTCAGTTCTAGTCGGATTCCAGAAAGTCCAGCAGCAGCGGCAGTGGCAACGGCAGCAGCTTTCTAGTGTCCTTCATCAGTTAGTTCCCTCAGGTCTTCAGTTCTATCAGGATTCCAGAAGTCACGTTAGAGAGTTTTTCGGTGCGATTCTGTAGCCTGTTCGTCCTTCGGTGCCCTGCTGTTTTGGTGCCGGGAGGTGCTTTTTGGTGGCAGCAGCCTAGTATCCATCAGTTCCCTCAGGTCTTCAGTTCTAGTAGGATTCCAGATGTCACGTTAGAGAGTTTTTCGGTGCGATTCTGTAGCCTGTTCGTCCTTCCGTGCCTTGCTGTTTTGGTGCCGGGAGGTGCTTTTGATACACTTCTGTCAGCGGCAGCAGCAACGGCAGCAGCCGTCTAGTATCCTTCATCAGTTCCCTCAGGTCTTCAGTTCTAGTCGGATTCCAGAAGTCACGTTAGAGAGTTTTCCGGTGCGATTCTGTGGCCTGTTCGTCCTTCCGTGCCCTGCTGTTTTGGTGCCGGGAGGTGCTTTTGGTACACTTCTGTCAGCAGCAGCAGCAGTAAGAGCAGTGGCAGTGGCAGTAGCAGCAGGAGCAACGGCAGCAGCAAGTCCAGCAGCAGCAGCAGCGGTAACGGCAGCAGCCTAGTATCCATCAGTTCCCTCAGGTCTTCAGTTCTAGTAGGATTCCAGAAGTCACGTTAGAGAGTTTTTCGGTGCGATTCTGTGGCCTGTTCGTCTTTCCGTGCCCTGCTGTTTTGGTGCCGGGAGGTGCTTTTGGTACACTTTTGTCAGCGGCAGCACCAGCAGCAGCAGCAGCAACGGCAGCAGCCGTCTAGTATCCTTCATCAGTTCCCTCAGGTCTTCAGTTCTAGTCGGATTCCAGAAGTCACGTTAGAGAGTTTTTCGGTGCGATTCTGTAGCCTGTTCGTCCTTCCGTGCCCTGCTGTTTTGGTGCCGGGAGGTGCTTTTGGTACACTTCTGTCAGCAGCAGCAGCAGTAAGAGCAGCGGCAGTGGCAGTAGCAGCGGCAGTAGCAAGTCCAGCAGCAGCAACAGCAGCAGCGGCAACGGCAGCAGCCTTCTAGTCTCCTTCATCAGTTCCCTCAGGTCTTCAGTTCTAGTAGGATTCCAGAAGTCACGTTAGAGAGTTTTTCGGTGCGATTCTGTGGCCTGTTCGTCCTTCCGTGCCCTGCTGTTTTGGTGCCGGGAGGTGCTTTTGGTACACTTCTGTCAGCAGTAGCAGCGGCAGCAGCAGTGCCAGCAGCAGCAGCAGGAGCATCGGCAGCAGCAAGTCCAGCAGCAGCAGCAGCCTTCTAGTATCCTTCATCAGTCCTTCATCAGTTCCCTCAGGTCTTCAGTTCTAGTAGGATTCCAGAAGTCACGTTAGAGAGTTTTTCGGTGCGATTCTGTAGCCGGTTCGTCCTTCCGTGCCTTGCTGGTTTGGTGCCGGGAGGTGCTTTTGGTACACTTCTGTCAGCAGCAGCAGCAGCAACAGCAGCAGCAGCAGCAGGAGCAACGGCAGCAGCACGTCCAGCAGCAGCAGTAGCGGCAACGGCAGCAGCCTAGTATCCATCAGTTCCCTCATGTCTTCAGTTCTAGTAGGATTCCAGAAGTCACGTTAGAGAGTTTTTCGGTGCGATTCTGTAGCCTGTTCGTCTTTCCGTGCCCTGCTGTTTTGGTGCCGGGAGGTGCTTTTGATACACTTCTGTCAGCAGCAGCAGCAGCTTTTGGTATATTTCTGTCAGCAGCAGCAGTAAGAACAGCAGCAGCAGCAGTAAGAGCAGCGGCAGTGGCAGTAGCAGCGGCAGCTGCAAGTCCAGCAGCAGCAGCAGTAGCAGCGGCAACGGCAGCAGCCTTCTAGTCTCCTTCATCAGTTCCCTCAGGTCTTCAGTTCTAGTAGGATTTCAGAAGTCACGTTAGAGAGTTTTTCCTTCATCAGTTCCCTCAGGTCTTCAGTTCTAGTAGGATTCCAGAAGTTAGGATTTCAGAAGGGACGTTAGGGACTTTTTTAATGCGATTCGGCGTCATTTCCGGCACGAAATTAGGTGTTTTTGGGTGCGATTCTGTGGCCTGGTCGTCCTTCCGTGCCTTGCTGTTTTGGTGCCGGGAGGTGCTTTTGGTACACTTCTGTTAGCGGCAGCAGCAGCAGCAGCAGCAGTAGCGGCAACGGCAGCAGCCTAGTATCCATCAGTTCCCTCATGTCTTCAGTTCTAGTAGGATTCCAGAAGTCACGTTAGAGAGTTTTTCGGTGCGATTCTGTAGCCTGTTCGTCTTTCCGTGCCCTGCTGTTTTGGTGCCGGGAGGTGCTTTTGATACACTTCTGTCAGCAGCAGCAGCAGCTTTTGGTATATTTCTGTCAGCAGCAGCAGTAAGAACAGCAGCAGCAGCAGTAAGAGCAGCGGCAGTGGCAGTAGCAGCGGCAGCTGCAAGTCCAGCAGCAGCAGCAGTAGCAGCGGCAACGGCAGCAGCCTTCTAGTCTCCTTCATCAGTTCCCTCAGGTCTTCAGTTCTAGTAGGATTCCAGAAGTTAGGATTTCAGAAGGGACGTTAGGGACTTTTTTAATGCGATTCGGCGTCATTTCCGGTACGAAATTAGGTGTTTTTGGGTGCGATTCTGTGGCCTGGTCGTCCTTCCGTGCCTTGCTGTTTTGGTGCCGGGAGGTGCTTTTGGTACACTTCTGTTAGCGGCAGCACACAGCAGCAGCAGCAGTAGCAGCAACGGCAGCAGCCGTCTAGTATCCTTCATCAGTTCCCTCAGGTCTTCAGTTCTAGTAGGATTCCAGAAGTCACGTTAGAGAGTTTTTCGGTGCGATTCTGTGGCCTGTTCGTCCTTCCGTGCCCTGCTGTTTTGGTGCCGGGAGGTGCTTTTGGTACATTTCTGTCAGCAGCAGCAGCAGTAAGAGCAGCGGCAGTGGCAATAGCAGCGGCAGTAGCAAGTCCAGCAGCAGCAGCAGTAGCAGCGGCAACGGCAGCAGCCTTCTAGTCTCCTTCATCAGTTCCCTCAGGTCTTCAGTTCTAGTAGGATTCCAGAAGTCACGTTAGAGAGTTTTTCGGTGCGATTCTGTGGCCTGTTCGTCCTTCCGTGCCCTGCTGTTTTGGTGCCGGGAGGTGCTTTTGGTATACTTCTGTCAGCAGTAGCAGCGGCAGCAGCAGCGCCAGCAGCAGCAGCAGGAGCATCGGCAGCAGCAAGTCCAGCAGCAGCAGCAGCGGCAACGGCAGCAGCCTAGTATCCATCAGTTCCCTCAGGTCTTCAGTTCTAGTAGGATTCCAGATGTCACGTTAGAGAGTTTTTCGGTGCGATTCTGTAGCCTGTTCGTCCTTCCGTGCCTTGCTGTTTTGGTGCCGGGAGGTGCTTTTGATACACTTCTGTCAGCGGTAGCACCAGCAGCAGCAGCAGCAACGGCAGCAGCCGTCTAGTATCCTTCATCAGTTCCCTCAGGTCTTCAGTTCTAGTAGGATTCCAGAAGTCACGTTAGAGAGTTTTTCGGTGCGATTCTGTGGCCTGTTCGTCCTTCCGTGCCCTGCTGTTTTGGTGCCGGGAGGTGCTTTTGGTATACTTCTGTCAGCAGTAGCAGCGGCAGCAGCAGCGCCAGCAGCAGCAGCAGGAGCAACGGCAGCAGCAAGTCCAGCAGCAGCAGCTGCGGCAACGGCAGCTGCCTTCTAACAGTTCCCTCAAGTCTTCAATTCTATAGTAGGATTCCAGAAGTCACGTTCGAAAGTATTTCGGTGCGATTCTGTAGCCTGTTCGTTCTTCCGTGCCTTGCTGGTTTGGTGCCGGGAGGTGTTTTTGGTACACTTCTGTCAGCAGCAGCAGTAAGAACAGCAGCGGCAACAGCAGTAAGAGCAGCGGCAGTGGCAGTAGCAGCGGCAGCAGCAAGTCCAGCAGCAGCGGCAGTGGCAACGGCAGCAGCTTTCTAGTGTCCTTCATCAGTTAGTTCCCTCAGGTCTTCAGTTCTAGTCTAGGATTCCAGAAGTCACGTTAGAGAGTTTTTTGGTGCGATTCTGTGGCCTGTTCGTCCTTCCGTGCCTTGCTATTTTGGTGCCGGGAGGTGCTTTTGGTACACTTCTGTCAGCAGCAGCAGTAAGAACAGCAGCAGCCGTCTAGTATCCTTCATCAGCTCCCTCAAGTCTTCAGTTCTCATAGGATTCCAGAAGTCACGTTAGAGAGTTTTTTGGTGCGATTCTGTGACCTGTTCGTCCTTTCGTGCCTTTCTGTTTTGATGCCGGGAGGTGCTTTTCGTACTCTTCTGTCAGCGGCAGCATTAGCAGCAGCAGCAGCAACGGCAGCAGCCGTCTAGTATCCTTCATCAGTTCCCCCAGGTCTTCAGTTCTAGTAGGATTCCAGAAGTCACGTTAGAGAGTTTTTCGGTGCGATTCTGTAGCCTGTTCGTCCTTCCGTGCCTTGCTGGTTTGGTGCCGGGAGGTGCTTTTGGTACACTTCTGTCAGCAGCAGCAGCAGCAGCAGCAAGAGCAGCGGCAGTGGCAGTAGCAGCGGCAGCAGAAAGTCCAGCAGCAGCAGCAGCAGCAGCGGCAACGGCAGCAGCCTTCTAGTATCCTTCATCAGTTCCCTCAGGCCTTCAGTTCTAGTAGGATTCCAGAAGTCACGTTAGAGAGTTTTTCGGTGCGATTCTGTAGCCTGTTCGTCCTTCCGTGCCTTGCTGTTTTGCTGTCGGCAGGTGCTTCTTTTGCTCTTCTGTCAGGATGTGTTCCATTTTGTTCGACGGCACGTGCGGCCATTCGGTTGCTTATGCTTGATTTGAATTCGTCCTGACTTTATGGTACTTTGGACAGAAGTTCCACAAGTAGGGCATGCATGCGAATAACGCTGCGTGGGCAATATGGGCCGGAGTAGCCCATCATGTACGCGAAATTGTTTCCCACAAATGCGTCGGTGGTCGATGTGTCCGGAAGCAATTGGAGTTGTAATTAAATCGTGGCAAAAAGGACACGTGTACACATAAAGCCGCTGCTGTGGTGCATCGTGGCCATAGATATCCCCGGTGGCCCCCAAACGATTTGCCATTTGGTTACCAAATAACTTGGAGTTATGGTGGATACATCTATAGTCAGATGGGATTATAAATCAACATATAACGGAAGGGGGTCCTGCGTACCTGTAAGCAAGCTATCAATCCAGCCGGTTTACCACGCCCGGTCCACCAAATCTTCTTCCAAAGTGACCACCCGGCCTTTTCCTCTTTCTATGTATAATAATAGGGCCCATATATATATATATACATACATATATATATAATATCCATACTATTGTAGCAAGCGCCTCGAAAAGGCAAGGTGGGGGGTCAAAGAAACAAGGTGGAGGATCAAAAAATCGAGGTCCAATTTTTCCGGGGTCGGCGGCAGGGGCGGCAGCCCTTAAATATTATTTCTCTATTTTGCTCAAGTGACTGCGAATGAGCGGCACAACTAGGCTCAGGGCCATTTTTGATCCAATAGGCGCCACACAGCTCCGCAGGTGCAAGCAGTGCAAATAGAGCAAGAAAAAAGCAACACTGGAAAGAGCTGAACACAGCAGCGCAATTCCTCTTGATTTATTTGGTAGCAGCACAGCTCTTGACTATACGGTCACCTTGACCAAAACGATGTGACTTTGGCTTTCTTGAAACTGTTACTTGGGCCTTTTCAGCTTGAGAAAGGCAGGGAAGCGGGCAACGCAAACAAAATGATAAGTTGAAAGTCCAACGAAAGAAAAGCAGGTGCACGTCCTCCCTCTTCGGCCCTTAGTTTTCTTCAACGCATAATAACAAATACATCTATGTACCCTGCTGCAGGTCTGCGTCAGTTTGCACAGAATGCAGCAATTGCTGTCAGTGATACTGTGTTGCTGTCACGGGCAACTGAATTTTCGGCAACGCCATTGTTCCAGAAAACACGGTGGGCTGCAACTAACACGGCTAGGAGTTACTGTCTGTTGTGAGATTTTTTCTCAGCCCACCTGGCGCTTGTCGGCTGGAAAACCGAAAGCCGAGCCAGCTCAGACTGCACGACTGTGCTGGTGGCCACTGCCGCGGTCAACTCGAGCTTTGCACGCGCGTCTCGCGTGACATGGAATCACACGGATGCCCCGTCATGACACACGGTTTCAGAGTCACAACCTCATCATTCCAAAATTGTCAAAAATGAAGAGATCAACACCCCGTCAACACCCAAGACTCATCCCTGCTTCCAAGAAACAATACTGTACATCTCACAGCCGGGTTCATGGGCCTTGTTGCAAGAGAAGCAATGACAAGACCCAAAAACACTTTTTCCGCCCAAGCGGAACACTTTGGTTGACTCCCCAGTTCAGGCTCCGTAGTGCTTTCAAAATGTGGTTGTCCAGCTGGTGACATGTAAAGTCGATCTCAGCTCACTATGTTCCTCACTGGGCTTCAGTAAAGGCGCCACCTGCTCCAAGAGCACCTCTCGAACCAACGATCGAACCTGAGCAAGTTTAGCAAGTTCTGCAAGCTCTGCAGGGGCATATCATGGCGTGGGCTTTTCGCGACGCACAAAGAACGAGAAGCACGGAGGCAAGCAAAGGATCAAAGGCAAACGGAGCGTGAGACAATAAAATCAAAATGAATCAAAATAAATCAAAATGAATCAAATACAATCAGAGGCAAAATGGCAAAATGCAGTCCAAAGAGATGCCTCGAAAGAGCTGACAATTGTCAGCTCGCAGAAGAGGGGGAAGAGTACGTGAACATGCCTCAGCAGTTTCACGTACCCAGCTAGATTGCTCATGCCATGATCTTCTGTGGCTGTGGTGAACAGGAACTTAATTTGTATCCGGATAATCGATTGCATATCTCAAACTCGGCTTAGGGCCAGCTTTGATAGGTTGCCCGATTCAGATCATTGTGTCGAGGTGAGTTGAGCTATCACTCATGGGGATTGTATGTTCTGTATCCCGGATATTTCCCGACAGTATCCGCATTCAACTGTGAAATACCAAGCTCAGCACTGTTCAAACAGCTTGGGTGGTAGGTCCTTCAGACCTTTGACGACCACCTCAGACAGCCACTTTGTGCAAATTTCAGAGTTTTGCGTACTACGCTGCTCCACTCTAACCCCAAACCCCAACGTTCCCCTGAATCCCATCGCCAAGCCCACTCACAAAGCCCAAAGGTCTGAACACCTTCAAACAATATCCGTTGTCAAAGCCATCGTAAGACACTTCAACAAACATATCCATGTATGTATCTATAACTACTGGTACAGAGACGGGTACGGCACCACGATTTAAACTTATTGATCCAAACCACGCTTGGAAACGGTTCAACCACGAAAAAAAAACGCTAGTTTTAAACCACGATTTGTTTTGTTTAGGCAGCACGTATATTAACCAAATCTCTGGGTTTCATTTGGTTCGTTTGAAGTTAAATTATGTGCATATTAGTATTAGTGTTTCTAGTTCGGAAAAGGAATTATATTATAAGTCGATGATGTGGCATTCCATTTGTGAATTCTTTGGTCGTTTGTTTTTTTTCCAAAAGTTTTCTAAGCAATGGGATTTTAAGAATTTTAAGGAAGTTAAGAATTTTTAAGGAATTTTATGGAATTTTGTGGAATGTAAGGGATTTTAAGCAATTCGAAGGAATTCTAAGGAAATTTAAGAAGATTTAAGAAGTTTAAGGAATTCTAAGGAATTCAAAGGAATTTTAAGGAATTTTGAGGAATTTCGAGGACGAAAGTTTTGTGCTAAGGACGAAAGTTTTGGGTTTAAGGACGAAAGTTTTGTGCTAAGGACAAAAGTTTTGTGCTAAGGACAAAAGTTTTGGGCTAAGGACGAAAGTCTTGTGCTAAGGACGAAAGTTTTGTTTTAAAGACAAAAGTTTTGGAATTTTAAGGAGTTTGAAGGAATTTTATGGAATTTTAACGGCTTTTGAAGCATGTTAATGAATTTTAATGAATTTTGATGAATTTTGATGAATTTTGATGAATTGTTGGGGAATTTTAAGGAATTTTAAGGACAAAAGTTTTATGCTAAGGACGAAAGTTTTGGGCTAAGGACGAAAGTTTTATGCTAAGGACAAAAGTTTTGTGCTAAGGACGAAAGTTTTGTGCTAAGGGCGAAAGTTTTGTGCTAAGGACGAGAGTTGAGGAATTTCAAGGAACTTTGAGGAATTTGCAGGAATTTTGAGGAATTTTAAGGACGAAAGTTTTGTGCTAAGGACGAAAGTTTGGGGTTTAAGGACGAAAGTTTTGTGCTAAAGACGAAAGTTTTGGGCTACGGACGAAAGTTTTGTGCTAAGGACGAAAGTTTTGTGCTAAGGACGAAATTTTGGAACTTTAAGTAAATTTGAGGAAATTTAAGGAATTCTAAAGACGAAAGTTTTGTGCTAAGGACAAAAAGTTTTGGGTTAAGGACGAAAGTTTTGTGCTCAGGACGAAAGTTTGGTGCGAAGGACGAAAGTTTTGTGCTAAGGACGAAAGTTTTGTGCTAAGGACGAAAGTTTGGGGCTAAGGACGAAAGTTTTAGGCCAAGGACAAAATTTTGGAAGTTTAAGGAATTTTCAGGAATTTTAAGAAATTTTACGGAAAATTAAGGACGAAAGTTTTGTGCTAAGGACGAAAGCTTTGTGCTAAGGGCGAAAGTTTTGTGCTAAGGACGAAGTTAAGGAATTTCAAAGAACTTTGAGGAACTTTCAGGAAATTTAAGGAATTTTCAGGACGAAAGATTTGTGCTATGGGTTTAAGAACGAAAGTTTTGTGCTGAAGACGAAAGTTTTGGGCTACGGACGAAAGTTTTGTGCTAAGGACGAAAGTTTTGTGCTAAGGACAAAAGTTTTGCGCTAAGGACGAAAGTTTTGGGCGAAGGACGAAAGTTTTAGGCTAAGGACGAAATTTTGGAATTTAAGGAAATTTCAGGAATTTTAAGGACGAAAGTTTCGTGCTAAGGACGAAAGTTTTGGGCTAAGGACGAAAGTCTTGTGCTAAGGACGAAAGTTTTGGGCTAAGGACGAAAGGACATTAAGGAATTTTAAGGATGAAATTTTTCGTCCTTAGTACAGGACCTAGTACTAGAAAGAATCACAAACCTAGTAGTAGAAATTAAGAATCACAAACCCAGAATCACAGACCTAGTACTAGAAAGAATCACAAACCTAGCACTAGAAAGAATCACAAACCCAGATTCACAGACCTAGAAAGAATCACAAATCTAGCAAGGAGAGATGCTCAGGAACATGCCTGCGATACAATAAATAAATGCAGAAGGCATTTGTTTATTTTGATATATATACTAGGCAAAACATATAGAAAACAATAAATCGTGGCCAAGGTGATAAATAAAAAACGTAGTATGGGTATAAGATTAATTCGAGGTACATGAAAGTCAAGTCATAGTAACAAGAATTAAATCGTGGTTGGGGCCCCATGTAACTGGACGTTTGAAATCATGTCTATAAATATAGGTAATATAGGTAAAGAAATCGGAGGAACAAATATTGGCGAGCTATGAGATTGATCAACTCCTTTCAGTAGGTTGTTCATCCTTCCACGATGCTTTCAATAGTCCAATTGCAAAGGGTTTCCGCCAAAAACCAGTGCGACATAGGCGACAGAGTATCTTCCACACAAGCTTTTTTACATAAAAAACATAAGCGCTTTCACTCAGAAATCGACTTCAGAGATGATCGGCACTAGTCCATGGACCTGTGGTTTTTGCAGACGCTTTTCCCAGATCTTGCACTCTTGGCTGCCATTGCAAGCTTTACCGACGTGGAAACAGTCTATGCTTTGCCGTGCAATCCAATGGCAAATTTGATGTTCAGTGCCTCTCGCTCTACCTCCACAATGGTCGCCTGGAGGCATCTGAGGTTAAACATCTTCAAATTCTGAGACTTACCTCTTCAAATTCACCCACATCTGGACTTGATCCTGGCAAAAAGAGGGGTTAAAGCGCAGCGCTCTTACCTCCATGGAGCCCAGGGCCCAGATGCTACTGTTAGAATCCACAACAGAATAGCCTAGCACTGCTAACACAAAGTTTAACACTAAGCGTTTTGAGAAAAGGTGGTCTTCCGAAAGCACGCCTCTTTGTCTTTGAGGCTTTCCACTGAGTCAGGCCTAGGCTGGAGTTGTCGAAAACATCATGCTGCCGTGGCCCATTTGACAGTTGAACTGTGAACCAATCAAACGCAGCACACAACCAGACAAATATGCAGGCTGAGATTTGAAGAGACTCAGTTGACACCAAGTGCCACTTCTGTTGCGACAATTGCGCAGCTGTGCACCCAAGAAAATGTGGACACTGCAGCCCAAACAAATAGGGAGACAAGCGCCTCTACAAGATAAGGCACACAGCCAAGCAAAACACCTTTTCTGAAACATCCAGCCATCAACCCCAAGAAGCATGCCAGACCAAGGCAAACAATCTTTGGTAGAACAAAGGAGCCGGCTGTTTACAGAAAGAATGAAGGCTCTGGGATCCCAACCTCTCTGACCGTTGCAATATTCGCTCCTGCAGCAAGTTCTCACCAACTGATTTGACACACGTCTGCCTCTCTGAAAGTCGAAGATGGGTGGCAAAAGCAATTCGGGATGGATCGCATTTCCCGTCTCAAAACAATGTGCCTTTAGTGCCGTTGTATGCTTCCGAGCACAGGATCACAGACTTGCCTTGTTTACATAATTTTGTAGCACGGAGCTGCAGAGTCGCAGGAGGCCTTGCACTCCGAAACAGCACATTTGAAGTCGGAGAAACACGGCAGACCAGTGCAGCAGTGACCCAAAAATGCCAGAAACACGGTCTACCGCTCTCGATGCAAATTCACTGCCGCTCATGCGCGGGTCAGCCTGTACCTGTGCACATCAAGGCAAATCTTTGTGAGCCAAACTGCAAAAATACCATGCCTTCAACACTCTCACTTCTGATTCTAAATAGTTCCAGTGTCTAGTGTGTCTACATTATCCATCACACCTACTGATACACGGCAAATGGTGAAGACGGAAGCGAAGGGCAAAGTGCCTGAAAAAGAATTCTCAGGGAACAGCTTAGCGACTCTCTCTCCTGCTTCAGCCTAGCGAAGAAGTTGGGCGTCAATGCAAACTTGCAAACCTGCAAACCTGCATCAAACATTTTGCACAAATGGAGAGCCATGCAAAACCCAAGATCTATCACCCGCACACAATCAAAACGAGACAGCGGGACAGCCCAGGCAGCTGCTTCCTCAAAACTTCAGGAACAGAAAAGCCCATGCTGCAATGTCCTCCTCTCTGCAATCCGTGCTAGCCCGTGCTCTGCTGAGTCTGCTAAGTGCTAAGCACTTCTTTCATGAAGCCAAGTCGTTTCAGCGCTTGGCGCAGTTCAATCTGTCGATTGAACTCCTCAAACGGAGCTACGACGTCCCTGCTCTCTTTGATCTGATGAATGTGATAATCATGTGTAGATATTTGTATGTATATATATATATCTGTATACATATCATTTTCACGTAGGGTAGGGTAGGGTAGGGTAGGGTAGGGTAGCGTAGGGTAGGGTAGGGTAGGGTAGGGTAGGGTAGCGTAGGGTAGGGTAGGGTAGCGTAGGGTAGGGTAGGGTAGGGTAGGGTAGGGTAGGGTAGGGTATGTATGTATGTAGCTGACGTTTGCCCGAAATCCACGGAATTCCATGCGGGACTGCAATCTGCTGTGTTGTTTCCGTGGGTGTTTTTCGCACACTGCGAGCATGCAAAATATTTATAATACCTGCGTCTCATGACTTTTTTGCGCTTACCTAAGACGTTGCCAAATCACCTTTTGAAGCGTATCTTAAAGATATCCTCCGTAATTTGCAGTGTTTCGAGCCGTTAACTAAGACCTCAACGAACCGCAAGACTTTGAAAGAACACCAAAATAACCTGACCCTAAATAAACCCTAAATAAACCCAAATAAATCCTAAACCAACCCTAAATCAACACCAAAATAACCCTAAATAACCCTAAAACAACCGTGAGCAAACCCTAGAACAACCCAAAATACTGTAGTACGAAAATTAACTAAATAAACCTTAAAGAAAATCCAAACCAACCCTAAGCAAACCCTAAAACAATCTGAAATATATCCTGAACAAATCACAACGTAACTAAACCCCCAATGAAACTTTGGGCGAACGTCCACCCCAGAGGGGTATGCATGCATGCATGCATGCATGTACGTATGGCCTATGTACCTATGTACCTATGTACGTATATACGTATGTAGGTATGTAGGGATGTAGGGATGTAGGCATGTAGGGACGTAGGGACGTAGGGATGTAGGGAGTAGGGATGTAGGGATGTAGGTATGATGTAGGCATGATGTAGGTAGGTAGGTATGTATCTATGTAGATAGGTAGGTAGTAGGTAGTAGGTAGGTAGGTATTCATTTATTCATTTATGCCTGTATTCCTTTATTCCTTTATTCATGTTTGCATTTGTTCATGTTTTCATTTTTCAGTATTTAATTTATACATTCATTTATGCATTTATTCATTAATTTGTTCGTTCATTTATTCATTTATTCATTTATGTATTAATTTAGATATTCATTATTAACCTTGTTATTGAGTTGTATAGGTTTACAGTTACGTTTTTGATTTTTTGCTTGTTAGGATTTAAATCTATTTGTTTATCTAGTCGATATTGATCTGCCCACCCAGGTCACTTATTTATACAGTACATCTATTTATGTGTTCATCTATCTATTTGATTCGGTCATATATATATATATACATACATTCATGATCAGCTTTGATGCTGCAGAACGGTATACATAACGGACATGTATCTAGATGTACTACTGGCAAGTCTCTTACGCCTAGCATAGATTCTGTGTCTTTCTCGTCTCGTTGGTAAGTCTCTCCTGAGAAGCTGGCCTGAGCAAACTCAAAAGACTGCTGCAAAGCATCCAGGAGCGTCATAATTCCGCTCTCGGGAATGGTCCTCAGCGTAAAAATCAAAAAAAGACTAAAGCTCCTCCAACCAAAATGCAAGTGCTTGTGCCATATCAAGTGACAGGTGGCTGATACTTGATGCTTCTTGAGTTGGAGAAAGTACTCAGGAACGCCACTCATAGTGTTGGGAGACCGCATCTTGCAGCATGTCAATGAGCAGGAGTTGAACGACGCACCTTGCATGTGTCAAATTCATCTCTGTGGAGACTGCAGTATATAACGACAGTATATAACTTATATAACAGTATATATTTCCTGCCGTTCATTGCTCTGAGAGCTGAAGTTTTTGATAGGGCTGAAGACTGGATGACCACATCGTCCTTGTTAAAGGGCAATTGTGCAGACACCCGTCGCATCATCAATGTGCTCAAGCACGTTCAAGCAACTTCAAGCACGTCGAAGCTCAAAAGAGCACCTTTACGACCAGCTGCCCACCTTTGCGTCCACCTCCATAAGCTTCGTTGGCATGCTGTCCTTGAAAAGCTCTAGGATGCAGGTCGTGACCTGGCCATCGTAGAGTGAACCAAAGGGCACCCGAGTGAACAGAGGGACAACAGAAAACAAGAACAGAAAACTTGAAGAACACGAGAAACTTACTCCAATTACTGCAAACTCTAGAAAGTTTCCTGCCTTCTGCCACGACTGCGGCTTCATGTTCTTGCCGGTGCAAATAAGCAGCTGCTTGAAGCCCTCAACGCCTATGCGCGCAACTGCCTGGAGCCAGGTCGCCATTCAGGGCTCACCCAATTCCAGTCAGAAGAAACTTGAAAAAAACAACGATCATTGTAGAAAACCAGCACAGCACAGCCTCAAACTCGTGCTGTATGCAATTCCGGATCAATCGAAGCACCTTTCAAAGGGAAAGTTCGGAAAGCATAAGCATCAAATCAATCCAGTGCCCAGCGCTTGTGGAGGTTAAGCCCGCAACATCGTCTAGCAGAAATGCGAGCACATCAAGGTGCGCTTCAATCAATCTGCGGGCAGTGCAAAAACAGCAGCACTGCAAGCCACCAAACGCCCTCATAAAACGTAAGGAGAACTCAGGAGAACTGAGAACACAAAGGACACACAAATCAAAGAATGCCTGACAAGCTGGGTCAGGGCGGCTAGGCAGGTTGGTGGCCTCACAAGAAGACATGGGCCATCAAGAAATTCAAGCGGCTACAGAATCAAAATGTAAGGACTTGACCCCATTGAGGCCCAATGACCAGCATCTGGTCGGCCCTGGCTGGCTGAAGGACTGTATGTAAACTTCATTGACTCCAATCGCCGTAAACTGTAAATCAGTGAGATCCCGGCAGCAGAAACCGAAGACTGTTTGACAGGACAAAGCATAAGTCACATGACCCCCCATTGATTGACATGACGCAGAGCCGCCACTCAGAATAACATCTTGTCCAAAGCATCACTCCTTACTTGCACTTGCCTGCACCCGTGCAGAGTTGCCTATCATAAATCCCCAACCTCAAAAAAGCACAATGAAAATGATGCCCCAAGCAAAGTAATTGTGCTAGAAGCTGCTAGAATGCCTTCCTCATACACTCCGCAGGATCAGATATCAGCTTCCGATCTTGTACTCTACAGCTGGAAGTCAGTTGACGGGTAACTCCAGTTATCATCATCTGCAGGAGAGCACGAACACAAGACCCCTCCGAAAATATTTCTGACATGCTCCTAGCAAATCTACTCAAGGGGCAAATCATGGCTGTCAACTTGCAATTCCCTGCCAAGTACATATGCAGTACCAGGGAAATACTGTCATTTGGCAAGAGATTGACATGTCAACGCAAAATTGCAAGATTCATGCAGAAAGCCTTCGGTCTGAATGATGCTGTCACGATGCTGTAATGATGCTGTAATGATGCTGGCCCCGTTGCCCTGTCAAAGTTGACATCCCCTGTTGCCCGTGTCAAAGCTGCATCCATGTGTTGCCAGTAGAACCAGCACATTATCCTGTGACACTACTGCACCTGTTATATTTTGCAATATTCATGCTCGGCCTCTAGATTATACCACTCCTGTTTGAAAGGTGAGTGACTTGACACTAGCTGCAGCCTTTGCCCCGTCATTTGTGACAACCATGGCATCAGCAAGCACACAAATGATGAATGATGAAATTAGTAGGTCAAAGTATGAGCGGACAACACTAAAGCGCTGAAGGGTCATCACAAACTGGCAGCCATCGACATTGTCATTGTGCTTCAAATACAATGCAGAATGCATATGTCCATTCTGAGCAGAGGTTCCGCAGGATCAGATATCAGCTTCCGATCTTGTACTCTACAGCTGGAAGTCAGTTGACGGGTAACTCCAGTTATCATCATCTGCAGGAGAGCACGAACACAAGACCCCTCCGAAAATATTTCTGACATGCTCCTAGCAAATCTACTCAAGGGGCAAATCATGGCTGTCAACTTGCAATTCCCTGCCAAGTACATATGCAGTACCAGGGAAATACTGTCATTTGGCAAGAGATTGACATGTCAACCCAAAATTGCAAGATTCATGCAGAAAGCCTTCGGTCTGAATGATGCTGTCACGATGCTGTAATGATGCTGGCCCCGTTGCCCTGTCAAAGTTGACATCCCCTGTTGCCCGTGTCAAAGCTGCATCCATGTGTTGCCAGTAGAACCAGCACATTATCCTGTGACACTACTGCACCTGTTATATTTTGCAATATTCATGCTCGGCCTCTAGATTCTACCACTCCTGTTTAAAAGGTGAGTGACTTGGCACTAGCTGCAGCCTTTGCCCTGTCATTTGTGACAACCATGGCATCAGCAAGCACACAAATGATGAATGATGAAATTAGTAGGTCAAAGTATGAGCGGACAACACTAAAGCGCTGAAGGGTCATCACAAACTGGCAGCCATCGACATTGTCATTGTGCTTCAAATACAATGCAGAATGCATATGTCCATTCTGAGCAGAGGTTCCGCAGGATCAGATATCAGCTTCCGATCTTGTACTCTACAGCTGGAAGTCAGTTGACGGGTAACTCCAGTTATCATCATCTGCAGGAGAGCACGAACACAAGACCCCTCCGAAAATATTTCTGACATGCTCCTAGCAAATCTACTCAAGGGGCAAATCATGGCTGTCAACTTGCAATTCCCTGCCAAGTACATATGCAGTACCAGGGAAATACTGTCATTTGGCAAGAGATTGACATGTCAACGCAAAATTGCAAGATTCATGCAGAAAGCCTTCGGTCTGAATGATGCTGTCACGATGCTGTAATGATGCTGGCCCCGTTGCCCTGTCAAAGTTGACATCCCCTGTTGCCCGTGTCAAAGCTGCATCCATGTGTTGCCAGTAGAACCAGCACATTATCCTGTGACCTGTTATATTTTGCAATATTCATGCTCGGCCTCTAGATTCTACCACTCCTGTTTAAAAGGTGAGTGACTTGGCACTAGCTGCAGCCTTTGCCCTGTCATTTGTGACAACCATGGCATCAGCAAGCACACAAATGATGAATGATGAAATTAGTAGGTCAAAGTATGAGCGGACAACACTAAAGCGCTGAAGGGTCATCACAAACTGGCAGCCATCGACATTGTCATTGTGCTTCAAATACAATGCAGAATGCATATGTCCATTCTGAGCAGAGGTTCCGCAGGATCAGATATCAGCTTCCGATCTTGTACTCTACAGCTGGAAGTCAGTTGACGGGTAACTCCAGTTATCATCATCTGCAGGAGAGCACGAACACAAGACCCCTCCGAAAATATTTCTGACATGCTCCTAGCAAATCTACTCAAGGGGCAAATCATGGCTGTCAACTTGCAATTCCCTGCCAAGTACATATGCAGTACCAGGGAAATACTGTCATTTGGCAAGAGATTGACATGTCAACGCAAAATTGCAAGATTCATGCAGAAAGCCTTCGGTCTGAATGATGCTGTCACGATGCTGTAATGATGCTGGCCCCGTTGCCCTGTCAAAGTTGACATCCCCTGTTGCCCGTGTCAAAGCTGCATCCATGTGTTGCCAGTAGAACCAGCACATTATCCTGTGACACCTACTGCCCTGTTATAATTTTGCATATTCATGCTTCGGCCTCTGAGATTCTACACTCCTGTTTAAAGTGAAGTGACTTGGCACTAGCTGCAGCCTTTGCCCTGTCATTTTTACAACCATTGGCATCAGCAAGCACACAAATTATGAAATGATGAAATTAGTAGGTCAAGATGAGCGGACAACACTAAATCGCTTAGGTTCATCACAAACTGGCAGCCATCGACATTGTCAATTGTGCTTCAATACAATGCAGAATGCATATTCCTTCTGAGCAGAGGTTCCGCAGGAATCAGATATCAGCTTCCGATCTTGTACTCTACACTGGAAGTCAGTTTACGGGTAACTCCAGTTATCATCATCTGCAGGAGAGCACGAACACAGACCCCTCCGAAAATATTTCTGACATGCCTCCCTAGCAAATCTACTCAAGGGGCAATCTGGGCTGTCAACTTGCAATTCCCTGCCAAGTACTATGCAGTACCAGGGAAATAACTGTCATTTGGCAAGAGATTGACATGTCAACGCAAAATTGCAAGATTCATGCAGAAAGCCTTCTGTCTGAATGAATGCTGTCACGATGCTGTAATGATGCTGTAATGTGCCTGGCCCCGTTGCCCTGTCAAAGTGACATCCCCTGTTACCCGTGTCAAATCTGCATCCATGTGTTGCCAGTAGAACCAGCACATTATCCTGTGACATTATTGCCCTGTATATTTTGCATATTCATGCTCTGGCCTCTAGATTATACCAGCTCCTGTTTTAAAGGTTAGTGAACCTTGGCACTAGCTGCAGCCTTTGCCCTGTGATTTGTGACCAACCATGGCATCAGCAAGCACACAAATGATGAAATGATGAAATTATAGGTCCAGTATATGAGCGGACACCACTAAAGCGCTTGAAGGTTCATCACAAACTGGCAGCCATCGTCATTGTCAATTGTGATTCAATACATGCATATTCCAGTTCCTGAGCAGATTGTTCCGCAGGATCAGATATCATCTTCCGATCTTGTACTCTACAGCTGGAAGTCAGTTTGACGGTAACTCCAGTTATCATCATCTGCAGGAGAGCACGAACACAAGACCCCTCCGAAAATATTTCTGACATGCTCCTAGCAAATCTACTCAAGGGGCAAATCATGGCTGTCAACTTGCAATTCCCTGCCAAGTACATATGCAGTACCAGGGAAATACTGTCATTTGGCAAGAGATTGACATGTCAACGCAAAATTTGCAAGATTCATGCAGAAGCCTTCGGTCTGAATGAGGCTGTCACGTGCTGAATGATGCTGTATGATGCTGGGCCCCGTTGCCCCTGTCAAAGTTGACTCCCCTGTTGCCCGTGTCAAGCTGCATCCATGTGTTGCCAGTTAGACCACCAGCACATTCTCCTGTTGACACTACGCACCTGTTATATTTTGCAATATTCATGCTCTGCCTCTAGATCTACCACTCCTGTTTGAAAGGTGAGTGATTTGCACTAGCTGCAGCCTTTGCCCTGTCATTTGTGACAACCATGGCATCAGCAAGCACACAAATTATGAATGATGAAATTATAGGTCAAAGTATGAGCGGACAACACTAAAGCGCCTGAAGGGTCATCACAAACTGGCAGCCATCGACATTGTCATTGTGCTTCAAATACAATGCAGAATGCATATGTCCATTCTGAGCAGAGGTTCCGCAGGATCAGATATCTGCTTCCGATCTTGTACTCTACAGCTGGAAGTCAGTTGACGGGTAACTCCAGTTATCATCATCTGCAGGAGAGCACGAACACAAGACCCCTCCGAAAATATTTCTGACATGCTCCTAGCAAATCTACTCAAGGGGCAAATCATGGCTGTCAACTTGCAATTCCCTGCCAAGTACATATGCAGTACCAGGGAAATACTGTCATTTGGCAAGAGATTGACATGTCAACGCAAAATTGCAAGATTCATGCAGAAAGCCTTCGGTCTGAATGATGCTGTCACGATGCTGTAATGATGCTGTAATGATGCTGGCCCCGTTGCCCTGTCAAAGTTGACATCCCCTGTTGCCCGTGTCAAAGCTGCATCCATGTTGCCAGTAGAACCAGCACACTATCCTGTGACATTATTGCACCTGTTATATTTTGCAATATTCTTGCTCGGCCTCTAGATTCTACCACTCCTGTTTGAAAGGTGAGTGACTTGGCACTAGCTGCAGCCTTTGCCCTGTCATTTGTGACAACCATGGCATCAGCAAGCACACAAATGATGAATGATGAAATTAGTAGGTCAAAGTATGAGCGGACAACACTAAAGCGCTGAAGGGTCATCACAAACTGGCAGCCATCGTCATTGTCATTGTGCTTCAAATACAATGCAGAATGCATATGTCCATTCTGAGCAGAGGTTCCGCAGGATCAGATATCAGCTTCCGATCTTGTACTCTACAGCTGGAAGTCAGTTGACGGGTAACTCCAGTTATCATCATCTGCAGGAGAGCACGAACACAAGACCCCTCCGAAAATATTTCTGACATGCTCCTAGCAAATCTACTCAAGGGGCAAATCATGGCTGTCAACTTGCAATTCCCTGCCAAGTACATATGCAGTACCAGGGAAATACTGTCATTTGGCAAGAGATTGACATGTCAAAGCAAAATTGCAAGATTCATGCAGAAAGCCTTCGGTCTGAATGATGCTGTCACGATGCTGTAATGATGCTGTAATGATGCTGGCCCCGTTGCCCTGTCAAAGTTGACATCCCCTGTTACCCGTGTCAAAGCTGCATCCATGTTGCCAGTAGAACCAGCACACTATCCTGTGACATTATTGCACCTGTTATATTTTGCAATATTCTTGCTCGGCCTCTAGATTCTACCACTCCTGTTTGAAAGGTGAGTGACTTGGCACTAGCTGCAGCCTTTGCCCTGCCATTTGTGACAACCATGGCATCAGCAAGCACACAAATGATGAATGATGAAATTAGTAGGTCAAAGTATGAGCGGACAACACTAAAGCGCTGAAGGGTCATCACAAACTGGCAGCCATCGTCAGTGTCATTGTGCTTCAAATACAATGCAGAATGCATATGTCCATTCTGAGCAGAGGTTCCGCAGGATCAGATATCAGCTTCCGATCTTGTACTCTACAGCTGGAAGTCAGTTGACGGGTAACTCCAGTTATCATCATCTGCTTGAGCTAATCTTTTGTGATTCTTTTGTTTCAAGTTTTAAAACGGTAGCTTGGATTCGAAATTCAATAGTATGTTTAGACCGACCTCAATGCTATTTAGAAGAAAAGATGAAAGTTGCTTCCAGAAAGGCTTCTTGGGACTGGAGAATCTCATTTAGACACACAAGTTTATATTTACTGTAGCCAAAGCGGGCTCAGCAATAAAGCTCCACTTTGAAGTTTCTTCTTGCAGCCCAGCTGCTAATGATACTGTGTGTGTGTGTTTTTGTGTGTGTGTTTGGTCCCTGTGCCCCCGCATCATCCCGCATCTACGTTACAAGCAATCTGCGTGAAAAAAAAAAATCTAGGTGCAAGAGGACACCGTTCACATGTAGACCCATTACACAAGATAGAGCACGATACGAAGGTTAAGTAGACTTCAGGGCTGAGCGAAGAGCATTGGAAGCCAAATATTTAAATTTGCCGGGGGAACAAAAATCTGTGGTCGTCAATTGCCTCTTTGGCAATTCAATTCAATTTAGAATCGCTATCCTGTGACAATTTCTCTGGCATCAGCCACGTCTGTGCTGCCAGACCTTGCAGTCAAGCCTTTGAGAACAAATCCACAAACGTCTTTGCAGGTCTGAGATGGTCGATGTATTCTTGAATGCCGCCTCTTTCAACCAGCACCTATGTGACATACTGCCTGATATTGATCTGGGATGGCTCGACTAGTCTTGACAATCCACTCTACCAATGTCGACAATCACGCCTCGTTGCCCTGCCCATCCTTCAGAATGAAATGAGCAAAGGGAGTTGTCCATGCTTTGAGTGAAAAGGCAAACATTTGTCATTTGTCCTTGCGATCACTTTGCGGCGCCAACTGATGGTGAATGTCGTCAAACAATGGTTTAATCACCTCACAAGGAGGAAATGCAACAACCTCTCCGATCGGCATGAATTTAGCGGCTTTGAAAGGATTGTCCCCCCAATCAACCCCAATCATACTGGAAAAAGTACAACTGGGAAGTCGCAGAATCTTGTCCCAATACTTCTCAATCTCAAGGCCACCACAAAGAACACAAGTTTGTTGTCCCACGGATCCTCCCTCTGCACACAGGTTTCAACTCACACTCAAATCCAGGTGTAGATATATATATATATACATACATATATAGATACACATATATATATATATTTGGTAATTTATATACTGTGATATATATATATTGTATAATTTATATACTGTGATATATATATATATACACAGTACATATTGTGTTCTGATAAAATGTGGCTTTTCCGGACAAAAACATGACTCAATATGTGAAACACGTGCCCCTCTCTGTGTATGTGTGTCTTTGTGATTAAGCACGCGGCTGTGAAGCTCATCAATAGAAGCATGACTACTCTAGAACTTGGAGGGTTCTTGTAGATACATCAAGACTGTTTTTAGATTGTTGCCTTCGCTCTTGTTCGTCAAGCGGTTGCTCCTTTTTTTCAAGCCCCTTCGAATGATGACTTCTCAGCATTCTTGAGATGTGCTAAGTATGTCCTCATGCATGTCCAGTGTTGATTGACTTGGTTTGGCACCCCGTTGAAGACCATCCGCCAAGTGTCCTGGTTCGGGGGCAGAATGCGCGGGTTCAGCCTGCATCGCATCTGAGAAAACTCTCCTCCCTTCGTATGTGCTGTCCTCATCAAAGACTTGCTTACCATGCTCCCGCAGAATGTCAAAAACACCATTGAGCGCAAGCGCTCTTACCTCTGCTTTCAAAGGTGAACAGTCGACATGAAAAGTTTATACAGGTTCTCTTAGTCGTGGTTTCTCTAACCAGGGGCCGCAAAGTACTACAAAGTGGAGGTCCACATGATGGGATAGTGGCTCTTATTGCACCCACACGAGAAGTAAGTTAGGGTCAGGAAACCATTCAGGCAACTAATGTCATTACCATCATCTGAGCATTAGGAGAAGTGCTAGTGCTCCTAGTGCAGCACGTGGAGCTGTTGCGGGATCTGAGGAAGCTGCATCCCTTCGCGGGTCGCCAACTAACATAGACAGCCCACGCAGAATCGGAAACCTTTGCCGTCAAGGCGCTAAGGTTTCCCCCTGCTTACAACTCTATGCTTAGGCATCAACCAAACAGCTGCTGGATGTCCATCTGTGATGGCAGGATCCTAGATGACACTTTTGAACTTTTGAATATACTTTTGAAACTTTTGATTCTTTGAGACTTTAAGTGCAAGAAACGACAAAGAGGCAGCTATGCAGCTCTCCTGCGACAAAGAACTCGCTGCTGGCAAATCAGTTTGAGGGTCAGCGAGTTTGTCTGCCGCCTTCAGCAATGTGGCAGAGGTGCAGGTTGGGCAACTCGCTGAAAGCGGAAAGAATCATTCAACCCTGGACTGCCACATAGCCCCGAAACCACCCCATTCTGCAGAAGACATGAAAAGGCGCTAGTCACTAGAACATTTAGGAAAACGCATGCTGAAGATACCGCTATTCAAAACATCACATTGACCAAGACGCCAACGAAACATCCAGACCAGAACTCTGCACAATAATATGACGGGGACACCACCCAGCTTTCGTGCAGGGCCTGACTTGGTTAATTACATGTACACCCACTCTAAGCTGCCTAACAGGCACGTATCTGGTCATTTTATTGGCAAATCATTCCACATTCTCCACCTCCAGGCTATCTGCAAGATAATGCACCCTCACCAACATCATTGCAATCTACTCGCATTCAATGATGTACAATATCTATAGGTAAAATGAATCAATCCACATCTTCTTCGTAATTCTCACCATGTTCCAGGCAAATTGCCAGACACCGTGATGATAAAGGGTCTCTCCCTTGACTTCCGGTCGTGCAAAATGATCGGTCCAAATCTAATTCCAACACAGACGTGCACAATGTGCGAAACGCTTCACGTGATAGACCAAAATGGTACGACTCACTGCGACTTTCACATCTCTGAGGTCTCAAAATATTGAAATCTTGTCATTTGCATTCTGATCATCCTGTACTTTTGGGTCGCAGTTGGGTAACTTCATGGGCTGCCTACCCACACCTAGGCACCAAGACATGTGCTCGCTTTGGGTACATGGCATTAAGACACTAAAACTGTCACCGTCTCACCTGCACAAGACATCAGAAAACAAAGAAATGACCGCCTTCAGCAGGTACTGAATCGCCTGCACAGACATTTCCGGCTTCGCCTGAAGGGGAGCAGGCACAGGTGGAGGTCTAAACATTTTAAACATCAAAGATTCAAGATGATTCAAGCGATCTAAGACCGATTTAAGAAGTCTCGTCTTTCCTCGGCCTCCTTGCCATCCTTTCCGGGTTTCTTCTCCACCTGTTTGGACAACAAACTTCAGAGACTCCCTGAAAGGAAACGGCAAAAGGAGCCCAGCAGACAAGACAAAAGGCAAACAAATGCTTCATCATGCTTCATCACTGTGTAGCAAATACACCAACCAATACGGAACTTGAGCAACTGTGCATTGTGTGCATGATCAAGAGCAGCAGCAACAGCAGCAGCAGCGACAGTATAACTAGTGGGGATAGTCTAGTTCTTGTCTGGACTTGCCAGGCACTGTCTGAGAAACCCTCCATGTCGACACAAGGCCTAACCCAAACCAATATAGAATAAGAATGCAACACAGGCAGGAGATTGACGTGGAACTTCGTGGAACATCAGAATTCAACAGGGATGCAAATACCATCAAAGACCGAAAGACAAGTCTCAATGGACCTTGTCAACTAAACCGGCTACACAAATGTTCAAGCCTAAATCCCTGGCCATTCCCGCTAGAGCCACCTACCTTAAACTGTATGAGATCAGCCCTAAGCTGAAGAGAAACCAATTTCCTTCCCTTTCCTGAGCTAAAACAAGCTGCCAATATCCCCTCACCTATGACTAAAAACAGAAACTCATAACATACTCAAACAGGACCAGACCTAATATGAAGCTAATCTGAATAGCACAGCCAAAAAAGGCGGAACCTTAAAAATCGTTTGAAGATTATGATTATGAAGGCCATTGCCAAAATCCACGAACTTCCATCGGACCTATCTCAAACATCGTCAATAACAGTCATTTCACGGCCTTGCAGCTTGCAAAGGCCAGCAGTGCACGGATTCCGTCGGTGAAGTTCTCCAGGAACAAATGGTAGCAGCTGTCAGCATTCACCTGACGCTAGGGTGGGATGAGAGGTGATTCGAAGATATCCCAAAGATATCCCAAAGATATCCTGTAAGCTTCGGCACACTGCAGGGATTGGCCGATTGGCCGATTGGCCTTCTCCACCACTTTGAAAGCCACTTCGATGGTGCCCTGTGCAGCTTTGGAGATTCGTCAGCATCTTCTGCAAAAGTTTGGCAGAACTCAAGCCGGAAAACCGGAGGAAAACCGGAGGAAAACCGGAACACTGCGCTGTGCACAGATCAATCAGGTGTCATGGCCCCATGGCCTCGCTTAGAGCTGGATCTTGAGCTGCAGCAGCACAAATGTGAAGGACAGCCTTCCACCCAGACCTTCAATTGGTAGCATGGAAAGCATGGAAAGCATGGATAGATCTGGACTCAAGTTGGCAGAAGTTGGCACTTGAATTGAGGTCACGTCCGAATACTTTGAAAGCTCGCCTTGAATGATTGGTCTTCTGTGAGCCACACAGCGAGCACTTTCTGTGAGTTTTTGAGCTGGTGGCATCGGTCATGTAAGAGATGATATAGACAAGGTAATCCTGAAGCCATGGAAACAGACCACAGCTTGTCACCACGATGTTTTTCTCTTTCAGCAACATCTGCTGTCCTTCACCTCCTTGCTCACGGGTGGCGGACCCACCTCAGTCCACTCTCGCCTTTCTCTGGTTCACTGAATTCTCCAAGATACTGTTGCGTCAGACATAAGCACTGCACCATGATGCATTCAAAGGGCTTCAAGAACTCAGCCTGGCAGGGACAGCAACAATGCGTAGAAACAGAAAGACAAGCCTCCAATCCTTAGTCGTTATTTGATACCATTGTGTATCCGAATTTTCAGAGATGGCTTTTGAGTAGTGACTGCTATTGCACTTGGGTCAGATAAATGGAACCATTTTCCAAGCTGTTCAATGCGCCTTGTAAACAAACACCCCACGTTACATTCCATCCATGTTTATCAGTTTATCACAATTGATTCGTCGCCAATGGCAATCTCAACACATATATTATATAACTGTTTTTGCATGTTTTTGCTACTTTTAGTCTTCGTGTCTTGGGTTCATGTCTGCAACCGGTTCATCTCATAATCGCTTGGCTAGCATAGCCCAGAACAGAATAAGCAACTGGACCTTCCCTGATCAGACTTTATTGCAAAATGTATACTTGGTCAAGCGTGTACTGAGTAAATTGTCTCATTTCATGCCATCGTCTCAAAGATCAGAAGGACTTCTGCAACTTCTTTCTCCCAAAGCATAAGCATACTAGCCACAATGGTGTGGCATCCCAGCTGTCAAGAACCAGGAGTTGCCTGGAAGTTGTATCCAGCCAACTCGTCTTTCTCCAGAAACTTCATTGTCAGTTGCCGCAAAGAATCCATGGCCTGAAACGAGGATACTCAAGCCACTCAAGCCGCTATACAGTGCAACTCCAACTTAATGACACCATGCTCACTCAAATTCAAGAGTGGGGCCAATCCCGTGCCAAATTAAATTCCTACATCGACCTGCCATAGAGTTGCGGACAGTCTTGTTTTTGTGCATCTTGAATCAATATGAATTAATGAGGTAAAGGAACAGCCAAGGTGCGTAGTGAGAAACTCGCACGTTGGGATGCGTAGCTACCTTCACACGTCAGTGCACAGGTTCCTCCTGTGCTATGTACAAAGAAGTCAAAGGAAAGAAGCTTTTGGAAGATTGAGATATACTTTTTTCTGAGCCTCCACGAAGTGGCTGCTAAGCACACGCCAGATTCGACCCCACACCACCCTCATGCGGCTCATGTTAAAGTCCGCCACCTGCATTCGATCAACATCTATGAATGTGCGGGAGAGGACCACATACATAGCTTTGCTCAAGTTACTAAAGCATCCCCTCTCTGATACACTGAGTATCCTTTGGCAAAGCAGCAGCTGTTCAGCCTCGACCAGCTTCTGAAGTGAAAAAATCCGTGGCTGATCTGCTAGCGCCAGCTCTTCTTTGGAGACCTGGCAACCCCGCAACTTCCCATCTAAGGCTAAGCCTGTTGCAACTCTAACAATTTCATCTGATTTCATCTCCTGGTTGTGTCTGTGATTAGTCTGTGATTGTCTGCATATGAGCCTTTGCCAGTTGGGTGACGAAATGCACAACAGCTTGTGGTGTGAGTTGAGTCGACCTGATGCAACAGCAACACTGCTGCAGGTGCAGCTTACAGCAGCCAACCTTTGTATCCTTCAAACTTATGTCTGCTGCTCTACGGAAAATAGCTTCTCCGTACTCTACATCATTTTCGTTTCGATGTTGCCTACATTCCTGCTCGCAGTTCCTTTGAGCCTTCCCTTTGGTCATCCAGGGTTCCTTCCTAATTTGAGAAACCTGTTGCGTTTGAGCAAGCACACAGCCACGAATTCTAGTAACGGTGCACATAACGGCGGCAATTCACGTCACAGTTGAGTTATAAATGTCAGATGCACAACGTAACACGCATGTTCACGGCGGCTCAATCCTACTGGGGTGTAGCTATATTCTGCAGCGCAGTCCCGTGACCAACAAGATTAGAATCTCTGGTTTGCTATGTTTGCTGCCTGCAGAGCTCACTACTGAATTCCATTTAGAGTCACTGGTGCAGGATGCCAGGCTTCCAAAGTCAGCATTTTAAATCTAAGAAGTGGAGAGAACTAAGTAACTGAAGTGATGAAAGTACTGTACATTGATAGCATCGCTCTCGCAATGGTGAAGTGGATCAGGGTATTGCATAGTTGACTGCAGAAGGGGCTAGCCACTGCTTGTCCAAGGGCAAATCCTAGAAGCTGGTCATAGTTTGTGACTGTGCTTTTGGTTGGCTGACTTGGGTATGCCTTCTTTTGCCATTTCCTTTGACAGCTCGTTTATCTATGCTGGCATTGTAATCTATTCACAGAGTGCATGATGTAGGGCCCATCTAAAGGCGGCAACCGGATACTAACAATCAATAACCTGCCAGCAAATTCAAATTTTCAATGGCGGCAAAAAAAACTGTGGACCATGTTGGAGTGAATTAATGTACTCGCATCATCTGCATTGTGAAGAACACACAAGTTCCTGAACTGCATGCTGAGGCAGGCTCTTGTTGAACAGCAGCTCGATTTGGGCCGCATCAATTTGAGAAGCCACTGACTCTGAGTTCACCTTGTGCAAGAGTGTTTATTTACAGGTTCTGGCCACCTCTTGAGAGGTGCAAAAGAAACCAACATGTGTGAGACAAGGTGTTGGCTATGTTGGCTTGTAAAAGCAATGTAAAAACTAGGGACTTCACGAGTTCAACCTGGCGGTCATCTTGGCCGATGGCCACCAAAGCCGACCTTTCAGGGGCAAGCTTCAGAAGGTGCACACAGCTGTCCGCTGTCTCCATGGTGTGCACAAAATGGCACAAATTCAAATCATGCTGAAGGTTATGGAAAATCATTGGAAGTCGTTTTTTTGTTCGACAAAATAAGTTCCGAACACGCCCAGGCCATGAGCACGACGTTTGACCACCTCAGCAAGTTCAGAAGTTGCAAGCTGCAAACGTGTCACATCATGGCGCTCTCTACCGAGAAAAAGCGTGCCTGGTGGCCAGCAATGCTTGCATTTGACCTGAACAGCGAAAGCTACGGCGCAAACGTCGAGACGGTTTGTCAAAGTCGAAACGCTCTTGTTGCAATGTGTTGAAATTAGCATGACCGAGCGTGACCGCCTGCTTGCAGCTCCTGGTGACAGTGCCTGAGCTGCAGAACTGCTAGGTACTGTTGAAGTTAGCAAGTAAAGCAAATTCCCACACTCTCCAACATCCAGACCTCATCTTCCATCTGAAAGAACTGAAAGTCTTGCCTGTCAAGATTCATATAAAAAGACATGAACCTGACCACAGGTTCATACATGAAATTCCTCCAAGTTATATGTAAGAACTCATCACTTCAGGAGAAGTACATGCACAGTGCACCTAGCACCTCTCGTGCCAATCAACTGTAGTCTTTCCAGCTGAGAAATGCAGTGTAGCACCTTGGAGTCAGAACAAAGGAGAGAGATTGTGAAAAAGAATGTTTAAACAAATCCGCCGACCCCGGCCGACGCAAGGGGGAGCGCGTAAGGGAAGAAGATGGAAATTAGGTGGTGTTTTGCTGTTTCGGAAGCGTTTCGAAACAGTAGGCCCAGCCATAATATTGTTTAGGCGATTCTGGGGGATTCGGCCGAAACAGCTGGCCCAGCTACCGGAGATTCTGGGGGATTCGGCTGAAACAGTTGGCCCAGCTAGGATTCTCGAAGTAGGATCTAAACTAGGATCTAGATCTAGATCTAGGATTCTCTAGGATTTCAGAAGGGACGTTAGGCAGGTTTCTGTAATATTGTTTAGGCGATTCTAGGGATTCGGCCGAAACAGCTGGCCTAGCTACCGGAGATTCTGAGGGATTCGGCTGAAACGGCTGGCCCAGCTAGGATTCTCGAACTAGGATCTAAACTAGGATCTGGATCTAGATCTAGGATCTGGATCTAGATCTAGGATTCTCTAGGATTTCAGAAGGGACGTTAGGTAGTTTTCTGCCGCGATTTTTCGTTATTTTCGGCACGAAATTAGGTGGTGTTTTGCTGTTTCGGAACCGCTTCGAAACAGCAGGCCTAGCTGTAATATTGTTTAGGAGATTCTGGGGGATTCGGCCGAAGCAGCTGGCCTAGCAAGGATTCCCGAAGCCGCGATTTTTCGCTATTTTCGGCACGAAATTAGGTGGTGTTTTGCTGTTTCGGAACCGCTTCGAAACAGCAGGCCTAGCTGTAATATTGTTTAGGAGATTCTGGGGGATTCGGCCGAAGCAGCTGGCCTAGCAAGGATTCCCGAACTAGGATCTAGATCTAGATCTAGGATAGATCTAGAGATCTAGATCTAGGATTCTCTAGGATTTCAGAAGGGACGTTAGGCACTTTTTTGGCGTGGTTTTGGAACTAGCTCGTCCTTCTGAGCCATGGTGTTTTCCTGCCGGGAGCTGCTTTTATGCTTTTTTCGAAGTTGTTTTCGGAAAAAGGTTGTTTTTCTAGGATTTCAGAAGGGACGTTAGGCACTTTTTTTGCGTGGTTTTGGAACTAGTTCATCCTTCAGAGCCATGGTGTTTTCCTGCCGGGAGCTGCTTTTATGTTTTTTTCGAAGTTGTTTTCCTGCGAGCGGGCGCAGGCAACAGAAATTCTCGAAAAATGTTGTTTTTCTAGGATTTCAGACGGGATGTTAGGCACTTTTTTGGCGTGGTTTTGGAACTAGTTCGTCCTTCAGAGCCATGGTGTTTTCCTGCCGGGAGCTGCTTTTTTCGAAGTTGTTTTCCTGCGAGCGGCCGCAGGCAACAGAAATTCTCGAAAAATGTTGTTTTATGTTGTTTTATGTTGTTTTTCTAAGATTTCAGAAGGGACGTTAGGCACTTTTTTGGCGTGGTTTTGGAACTAGTTCGTCCTTCAGAGCCATGGTGTTTTCCTGCCGGGAGCTGCTTTTATGTTTTTTTCGAAGTTGTTTTCCTGCGAGCGGGCGCAGGCAACAGAAATTCTCGAAAAATGTTGTTTTTCTAGGATTTCAGACGGGACGTTAGGCACTTTTTTGGCGTGGTTTTGGAACTAGTTCGTCCTTCAGAGCCATGGTGTTTTCCTGCCGGGAGCTGCTTTTTTCGAAGTTGTTTTCCTGCGAGCGGCCGCAGGCAACAGAAATTCTCGAAAAAGGTTGTTTTTCTAGGATTTCAGACGGGACGTTAGGTACTTTTTTGGCGTGGTTTTGGAACTAGCTCGTCCTTCAGAGCCATGGTGTTTTCCTGCCGGGAGCTGCTTTTTTCGCAGTTGTTTTCCTGCGAGCGGCCGCAGGCAACAGAAATTCTCGAAAAAGGTTGTTTTTCTAGGATTTCAGACGGGACGTTAGGTTGTTTTTCTAGGATGTCAGACGGGACGTTAGGTACTTTTTTGGCGTGGTTTTGGAACTAGTTCGTCCTTCAGAGCCATGGTGTTTTCCTGCCGGGAGCTGCTTTTTTCGCAGTTGTTTTCCTGCGAGCGGCCGCAGGCAACAGAAATTCTCGAAAAAAGTTGTTTTTCTAGGATTTCAGACGGGACGTTAGGCACTTTTTTGGCGTGGTTTTGGAACTAGCTCGTCCTTCAGAGCCATGGTGTTTTCCTGCCGGGAGCTGCTTTTTTCGAAGTTGTTTTCCTGCGAAAAAGGTTGTTCGTCCTTCAGAGCCATGGTGTTTTCCTGCCGGGGGCTGCTTTTATGCTTTTTTCGAAGTTGTTTTCGGAAAAAGGTTGTTTTTCTAGGATTTCAGAAGGGACGTTAGGCACTTTTTTGGCGTGGTTTTGGAACTAGTTCGTCCTTCAGAGCCATGGTGTTTTCCTGCCGGGAGCTGCTTTTATGTTTTTTTCGAAGTTGTTTTCCTGCGAGCGGCCGCAGGCAACAGAAATTCTCGAAAAAGGTTGTTTTATGTTGTTTTATGTTGTTTTTCTATGTTGTTTTATGTTGTTTTTCTAGGATTTCAGAAGAGACGTTAGGTACTTTTTTGGCGTGGTTTTGGAACTAGTTCGTCCTTCAGAGCCATGGTGTTTTCCTGCCGGGAGCTGCTTTTATGTTTTTTTCGAAGTTGTTTTCCTGCGAGCGGGCGCAGGCAACAGAAATTCTCGAAAAATGTTGTTTTCTAGGATTTCAGACGGGACGTTAGGCACTTTTTTGGCGTGGTTTTGGAACTAGTTCGTCCTTCAGAGCCATGGTGTTTTCCTGCCGGGAGCTGCTTTTTTCGAAGTTGTTTTCCTGCGAGCGGCCGCAGGCAACAGAAATTCTCGAAAAATGTTGTTTTTCTAGGATTTCAGACGGGACGTTAGGTACTTTTTTTGCGTGGTTTTGGAACTAGTTCGTCCTTCAGAGCCATGGTGTTTTCCTGCCGGGAGCTGCTTTTTTCGCAGTTGTTTTCCTGCGAGCGGCCGCAGGCAACAGAAATTCTCAAAAAAGGTTGTTTTTCTAGGATTTCAGACGGGACGTTAGGCACTTTTTTGGCGTGGTTTTGGAACTAGCTCGTCCTTCAGAGCCATGGTGTTTTCCTGCCGGGAGCTGCTTTTTTCGAAGTTGTTTTCCTGCGAAAAAGGTTGTT